CAGGAATGCAGTGAGAACAGAAGGGCTTTGCTGACTTACTTTGGTGACACTCATGAGAGCCCAGCTGATACAATAAAGCAGAGTGTTGTACAAGCTGTCTAAGAAACATACACCATCCAACTGTGGCTGTAACTGCTTCTTTGATTGCCTAATTTTACAACGCGGTTACTCATTAATTTGTTAGAATGGTTTTCAATGAACAGTGATCAAGGACAACGTGTCGATGGTGCTGATGGGAAAACAAAAAAATCAGCAAGAAGTGCCGAGAGAGGATGCACGTTTCTTACCATGATCCACAACCTGCTCAATTTGCAAGTGATTGCGCAACTTGCTGGTTCCATCAGGACCCACAAGTGCAGGCTCCAAATCTGCTTATGTGCCCACATACTCTGCTGGCACAGCACCCTTGTGCAAGGAGCTGGGTGGAGATCAGCAGTGCATGGCTTTGCTGTGGATTTCAAGCCTCATCTATTGTCAAATTATTCCCAGCATTTCAAAATCAAGATTTTTCCCTCAGAAACAAGCAAAAAAGGGATAAGATACTGCATGTAACTTGGCTAATAGCAAGAACAGCACTCTCTCAGTTTTTCCTGTATGACTGTAATTATTTAAGAGGTGGTACAGGAAAAGGAAGCAGGGAGAAATGCAGTAGATGAATGTAACCTTGGGCAAGTACTTTAGGGACAGCAGGACATTGTAGTGGCCTCAGAGATGCAACTCCAGCCTGGCTGGGGGTATTAACCATGTTTGGCCAGGGCTAGAAGAACAGAGGTTCAAGAGCCACTGCTAAACAATTTGAAAGACCCACAGAGCAAAAAGATGGGTGTAGCCTGAGGCTAACAGAGTTCATGGATGGTGACTCATCACCCATCTGGGGAATGGCAGACCTCGGAGTACTTCTCTATACAATCTGCTCTGCTGTTTTGAAACGAAGCTCCTCTCCTGACCCTCCAAGGCTTTTACAGTGTAACAGTACATTTTTTGCTGTATACTGCAGTCATCATAATTAATCTCTTTTGCTGCTTCTTGAAAGTACCAAGCTACAGATGCCACAACAATTTCACCTGCTAAGGTTGTACCAAAGTTCATAGGGAAGCCAATATCATAAACAGATTGATTTATGTGAATGCTGCAGATAAGCTATTACTGCTTGCAGTATAGCAAATACTACATTGTGCTTACAAACCTTAGAGGAACCTCAGATAAGCCCTGTGTTGGGCAAAGTTATATGTGGACATTAAGAGTCTATGTGGATTTTACCTAGATGGAAGTAACAAGTGATCTCTTCTGTGTACTGCTAACAGTAATGGGCTTGACAAAAGACTGGTTGGTTATACAAAATTGGCCAGTTCAACTTGTATTCTCCCTCGAACATGGTGTTGTTACCACCTTGCTCTGAGTCCCTTTTCCCATCAGCCAGCCAGCAGAGACCTCATGCTGCAATCCTGACACATCATCTGGGAAAGACCATACATATGGATGGCCAACCTCAAAAAGCAAAAAAGACTCATTCTTCATATGGATAGAGGAAAATCTGCTCCCCAACTCCCTGCACAGCCCGTATACCCATACATCTCTGACCTGAGAGCTGAGTGACAGCTAAAGCAGAAGGCTGGACACCTCTGGGAATGTGTAGGCAATACCACTATCACAGAGGGTGCTTGGGCATGCCACAGTGAAAATTTATGACAGTGTTGTGCAATAAAAAGACTGGTTGTGCAACACAAAATGTCACCATAAAAATGATAAATATAAAACCCTCTTTAAGTTCTCCCATCAGGTCACGGGGCAGAAGACAAAATCTGTGTACTCTGCATCAAAATAGATCCAAACAAATGTGATTTACCTTCCTCTAATGTGCTGACAGTTCTAGAAAGCCTCAGGAGGCAAGACTTAGTGACTTGCACTTCTAGAAAACCTTGTATCAAAACGAAGAATTTCTATTCCAGTCCATTCCTTGAGTTATCTCTCTCTTCTTTCCTCCCTTCCTCTAAAGTTCCTGTCCCTTTTTCCTTATCAGTCTCTTCTCTGATCCCTTGATGTTTCCTTTCCCCTCATCTCCTTACCTTTAAGGACATCAAGTTAATGATTTTTTTCAAGGAATGGAGCTGAGGTCATCTGAAAACCATCTCCTCTGTCCAGAATGGGTACCTCCTGCAGGGAACACCGGGCAGTGAATCCTGTATGCAGCCTGTGCAGGGTAGGTGGCAGGGTCTTTAGGAAGGAGGTAGAAAGAAAAAGGACTGCATATGGGGCCAGTGAAACAGGAGCCAACTTGTGTAGCTATGTTGAATAAGGTGCTTTATCTGAATTGCTCTGTCAGTTTGCTCAGGATGTACAGCTTGGGCAAGGTGTGCAGTGGCCCTGGCACTCAGGGAAACTACACCACTGGCCCTTTACTGCTTGCTGACACAACCTCAGGCTCAACCATTTGCTCCAACACATGCCAGAAAACACTTCACTGATCCCTGGACCCCATCTGCTCCCCTTTTAGTTCACTGTGAAACTTTTCCTCTATGCTTATCTGTTTTATTCCTTCTTACACAAGGGAAATATGATGCATAATTATTTTATTACCTTTGTCCAGCTGAACATATGGCACTAATATTCTCTCTCCAATGATTTATTAACCTCAGCAGATTCCAGTGAAATGTAGCAACAGAGGCAGAAGGCAAAGAACACACTGGAGTTGTTACTGGCTGGTGAACTTCCAGGCAAAAGTTAAGAGCAGAGGACAAAGGTTGCTCATGCAACTCCCAGTCATCCTGGGAATTGCAACTTGGGCAAAGGACATTAAACATTGTCCATGTTCAGCAGATTGTAGCCATGGCTACAGTTTCTGCCTACAGGCACTTGTAGTGGAAGGTGTTTTTCACAGCCAGTACAGCCTCACTCGTGTCAGAGCTGAGCAGCCTGGCATTGCTCACTTCCCTGAATCAAGGCATAAAGTGGACGCAAAAAAAAAAGGTAGCAGTTTCTGAAACAGCCTCCTTTTAACATAAAATTAGTTCTTCTGCACTGAACCTGACCCAAATTAATAGCAGGATATTATAATTTCAGCACAATTGACTTAACTCTTTGCAAAAAAAGCTTTTACGGGCAGTTACACATCACAGTTTTTACAGGCAGCCACACATTCTGCCCCACGAATAGTAACATGTGCATTATCTTTAGATAATACTTACTTTTTTTTTTTTAATAAGTTACTTTATCCTGTATCTACACTGTTAGTATTTCTTTTCAAGCTTACCAAGGTACATGCATGTTTCTTTTCAGACAGTGATTTAGCTGTTAAAATGTAAATAAGCAAATAAAGTTTTAGCCTTTTGGAGGCTTTTAAGTTTGAAAATTCAGTGTTTCTTGAATCAAGGCATAAAGTGGACGCAAAAAAAAAAGGTAGCAGTTTCTGAAACAGCCTCCTTTTAACATAAAATTAGTTCTTCTGCACTGAACCTGACCCAAATTAATAGCAGGATATTATAATTTCAGCACAATTGACTTAACTCTTTGCAAAAAAAGCTTTTACGGGCAGTTACACATCACAGTTTTTACAGGCAGCCACACATTCTGCCCCACGAATAGTAACATGTGCATTATCTTTAGATAATACTTACTTTTTTTTTTTTAATAAGTTACTTTATCCTGTATCTACACTGTTAGTATTTCTTTTCAAGCTTACCAAGGTACATGCATGTTTCTTTTCAGACAGTGATTTAGCTGTTAAAGTTTTAGCCTTTTGGAGGCTTTTAAGTTTGAAAATTCAGTGTTTCTTCCCCCTGAGTGACAGCAATTTCCAAGTTATTCTTCTATGAGTGACT